TCTTCTGTTATGTTTGAAACCCTAACCCCGAAACCCTAAACCCCGAAACCCTAATCCCCGAAACCCTAAACTCTAAACCCTGAACCCTAAACCCCGAAAGCCTAAACCCCGAAACCCTAAACCCCCGAAGCCCTAAACCCCCGAAACCCTAAACCCCCGAAGCCCCTAAACTCAAAACCCCCCGGGGCTCGGGATGTAGGTCTCGGGTTTCCTGGTCTGCTGGAGGCTTCAGATCTGTGGGTTCTGGAGTACCATACTTGAATACTTTTTTATTGGACCTGTTCCTTAAAGGAACCACTATAAAATAAAAGTCTATACTTATTTTCTCCCTGGTTACTTCAAAGTCCAGATCTGCCAAGGGGGGCTGATCCTTGTGGGAAGCTTCGGGTTTGGGGCTTGGGGTTTTTGGGCTTTAGGGATTTAGGGGGTTTGGGGGTTTCGGGTTTAGGGCTTTGGGTTTTGGGTTTTGGGTTTAGGGCTTAGGGCTTCGGGTTTAGGGCTTGTAGGGTTTCTGGTTTAGGGTTTAGGAGTTTGGGCGCCGCCTGAAGCCGAAGCCCAAGCCCATCGACGGCAAAGCAACTAAAAGGCCCATCGTCTAAACCCTACACCCCGACTTGACCCCGGCTTATGAGGGTTTATTAGGGTGTATTTGGGTTTATTAGGGTTTATTAGGGTGTTTTGGGGGTAGGCATAAACCTTAAGCTTCAAGAGACCCTAAAGCCTGACAGTCATGCAATGTAAGCAAAAGCAACCCTAAAACTCTAAAACGTAAGAATACCTGAAGAGTAAAAGCCATATGATATTGGAAGCACTGACATTCCAAATATGAAATATCTTACGAAATCACAAGCCTTCAAAACCAGAAAGTTTTGAAGCTTAGAAGACAGCGATGTGGGAATTGCTCAATCCGTCACGCTTAACAGCGAAAAATCCGGTCATTTGCGACTCCCAGGCTGTGGAACGAGTCGATCGCATATGTCTACCGAGGGTGCTGCAAACGACTGGTTTTGGATCGGTGACTTTCACACGCGTGCCAATGTTTGGTACCATCTTTGGACCGAGCAGGTAGTCGCAAATGATTGGTTTTAACTCCACAAAACGTCGCCCCGGGTAGGGAGTCGCAAATGCTGGAATGAGCGCAATTGACTGGAATGCCATCGGAAGGCTTAGTTGAAAACGCAAATGACTACACCGCCCATTTAAAGAAGCCGCGTGCCCTCATGCCCTCAACCCAGGGACTCCAATATCCCTTAATTAAGGAATAGACCTTCAATCATATTAAGGATCCTACTATATTTCAAGGTATATTCCTTAATTAAGGCATATTGGAGTCTCTGGGAACAGCAACCCGTTTGAGATCCCCACCCTTTGAACTCAGGGGACAGGCGCCACGACAGCAGTCGCTCGCGACCTATAGCAATGTGCCGGCCAGGCAACGCAATCAGAAGCTGCGGCCGTAAAAAGCTGGTGTGACCCTGGTCGAAGTTCTTTTGATTACATGGTAACTGCGTATATTGTGGGTTTTGCTTCTGCCGGGAGTGCATCGCCACTGAACATAGATTGTCAGTTTCACGCACTGTGGCTCCAGAAGGTTCTATCAGCATGTGTGTTGTTCCACTGCGCAGATGTGTCAATGTTTCAGAACGACGAGTTCTGAGAAGAGTCCTCTTGACAAAGCAGACATGTTTGCGATGATAATGCAAGGATCTCACGAAAATGACAGATGTAAACGCCGGGCTGTGCAAAGCCTAATTGTTGCGGCTGGGTACTGCCGCGTTCGCATCGAATGCCTTGTCAGCATTTTGCAAGACAGGTCCTGCCGGCGGGCTGCATCGGGCTGCCCTCTGCTTGAGTTGTACCATATTTTGAGAGCATGCCCAATCAGGATCAATCAGGCACTTCCAAGTGATTCGAGCAGATTTTGAGCATGGACATGGAGCATAACCTGTCTTGTACAGTAGCGAAACCTTTGCGTGCCATATTGATGCATGGGCCATGCCCATGTCTCATTCGTTTCTGCAGGGCATGGTCAACTTGCTCTACGCCGATCGTGTCACGGTGTCTCGGCTCCCTCTCGAGCCAGGGGTCTTACGCCCCGTTTGTCTTTCATGTTTGTCCTGTGATCCTTCATGGCAACATTCTACAGCAGGAGCATTGCGATTGCAAATGGGGTCCTGCGCCGTTGCATGCTCTTCGTGCTCACCGCAAACTTAGACTGATTGAGCCTGCTTAGGTCTGGTCCGTGGATGTCAGCTCCAAATTTCAATTCCTATGTGACGCAGGCCAGGTTGCACGGATCTGGGCTCTGGTTTGTGCTGCACGCCCCGACGTGTGCCTGGTAAGCGCAGTCACAAGATTTGTCACGAGGCAACAATAAAACGAATAACTCGGCCTGCACCATGAAGCGTCCAATGGTTTTGTCACGGCACTCTGTCAAGAGCAGGGAGCCATCAAGGTGCAAGGCTGCCGCCGAGGGCGCCACACGCGGATTTCAGGTTTGCCAGTCATGCATCGTACTTTTCACGACGATGCAGCTTCACAAAGCACTTATGCACCCTCATCCTCCCCAGCGTCGGTGCCTCCACTCAGTCAAAGGGAGATGTTGTTGTCCCACAGCACAGCACCGCCCGACGAACTTTCTTTTGAAGACTTCAGTTATGAAGCTGGAGATACCAAAACGGAGGAGTATGTCGCAACAGAAGAAGCGCAGAGCTGGGAGAATTACGTATCAGAAGAAGTGCAGAGCTGGGAGTGTGCGGAGTCCAGTCATGACGTGCAAAGGATTCCGAAGAAAGATCTCAAAGGCGAGCAGATTTTGGAGCTCAGAAGGAGCGGGCACTTTCAGTCGACATCGGCATCCGGGATTGGCAATGGGCGGGGCTGGAACTGGGGTGACCGGGCAGCGTCAGCTTTATCTCGGAGATGCCTGAAGCTCAATTCCAGTCATCGCTTCTCTAGGGAGAACCTGCGAGGTATTCGAAGCAAGCGGAGCCGCATTTCATTCCGCAGCATTTCTATTCTGGCAGGATGTCCGCCCACGATTGTGTTCATACGCTCATCGGGCAGTACAACATGGACCCGAAGCCCGGCGAGGAATTGTTCCACTTTGTTTGAGCACACTCGATGTAGAAAAGGCATCACTGCTCGGTTGGTCACGACCGGCTTCTTCGAAATGCAATTCCGAGGCTTCGCTAAGCATGGGTCTTCATTGCCAAAGGCCGTGGCAAAAACGTTGAAGCCGAAAAACTTGATCGGAGAGCTGCTGAGCAAGCGGCTTGCGAACTTTTCAAAAAGGTTCCTGATGTGCAGGAGGTTCGACGAGGGCTTCCGCCGACGATGGGCAAGATCAAACATTTCTTCCGTCTTAACAGAAAGCAACGAGATGAGCTGGAAGCGATGGGCTTTGCTGCAGGAACGGTCCAGGGAGATATACTGTATCGGAGGCCGTCTATAATGGGTTCAGGCGGCACGGCTGCCGCAAGGCACTTTGGGACTCCGGCGCGTCGTTTTAACTAAACGATATGTACTGTAAAACGGTATAACCAGAGATGTTCAGATTTGCCATGGGCCTGTGTCTAAATGGCAGCACATTGCTCCTAAGCATCTGGCTTCAGTGATATAGTCTTACGACAGCATTAGATGCTACAGGAAAACAGGGCCCAAAATAACTTATGTTTTCCTGTGTAGTTTTTGTAAGCTTCAGTTTTTTTTGGGAGGGGTGGGCCTCGCGCCTGTCCTCTACTGCTCTGCCTTGCGGTCCTGCAGCCATCCCTGCAGTGTTTCGCTGCTTTCTTGCTTCTGCGCTTTTTCTCTTATGCCTTATGCTTGTTCTCTGCGCCGATCGTCTGCTTCGCGCTTTGCTTTTCCGCTTCTTTGCCTCCTGGCCTCGAGCCATATGATGTATCGGAGTCGCCAAATGACGGGGCGTGTTTAAGACGTTTAAGACTTAGGATTAGCCGGAATCGTCAATGAGGGGGCATATTTAAGATCTATATGATATATATATATATGATGATGATGATGATGGTGATGATGATGATGATGAATCGGCATCGACAATTGAGTGTGTACCTAAGATAAATGATGAACCGGAATCTTTCAATGAGGGGGCGCGTTTAAGATATATGGTGAATCGGTATCGACAAATGAGGCTTTCTAGCATATATAGCATCTACTATGACTATGACGCACCGTATTCACCAAATGAGGGGGGCTTTTTCAAATGTCAGATGAACCGGAATCGCCAAGCACCCTGCCATCAAGAACGGCATTGTCGTCTCGCACTCTCAGTTTGGACAATATAATAGTATACTTGTGCCTTTTAAAAGGGACCTTATTGAGAGGGTCTATATCCCCAAGGGTTCCCTTAATCTTAGCTCCCAACAAGGAGACCAAAATCGCCGAATCAACCGCAAACGCTAATCGTCGAGGAAAATCGACGAGCCCCAACCCTGCCGATTTGAGAGGCCGACTCCCTAGTGCTCAGCCCATGTGCAACTCACTGGATGCACCTCGCCCTCACTCCCTCTCGGGCTCTCTCGTTCGCCGCATTCGTGGCTCGCTCCAGTTTCAGGTTTCAGAGTGTAGGATTTTAGCGCCCGGGGGCCCGCGCGCCGGAATTCAGGACTGCCCTTGCCTCTGCCCTGCTCTGCCTGGCTGCTGTGCCCTTTTGTCCGGAAAGGAAGAAAACGTGTTGGAAAAGCCTTCTATAGAGAGGCTTTCCCAGCTCGTCGCCATAGCGCGATGCCCTCGACACAGCTTTGTCGCAAGATGCTATCGCCTTCGCACTATTCCTTTGTAAACCTTAAACCCGAAACTCTAAAGCTTTAAGCTATAAACATAAGCACTATAAGCCTCAAACACTAAGCCCTAACGCTAAACCCTGCCTTCAACCCCTAAACCCCTAATCCCTGGAACCCCTAGACACCTAATTGAACCCTTCAACACCGAAGCCTCGAACCACCTGGAATCCAGGCTCATTTCAAGGCTGCGTTGCGCAGGGTCTTCTCCGGGCTGGCCGGAGCTGTGCCGCAGCCGGACGATGCGTGGTTTGGGAAGGCGCCCGGAAACTTGTATCAGAGTTTCCAAATTCTATAGCCCAGCACTGGTTAACACTACTCGCAGTCCGATAGAATACGCAAAAGAACAAAGAATTTCGATGTGTTCCTGGATTCTAAACCCTGGATCCTATAACCTGGCCGTGAAGGGTTTGAGGTTTGGGCTTCGGGTTCGGGGTGGGCGAAGGTCTTCGAGAGCTATGCTGCGCGATGTGGCGGCAATGGCGTCTCATTGCGGGCCATGGAGGACGCGGCGAAGCAGTTCGTCGCGCACCACCAGCGCAAGAAGGAGGCTGCCCAGGCTCTGCCTTCAAAATTTCTAAGCGCAAAGGCCCATGTACCTCTACAGTATATGCCATATGTTTTGTATATAGTAGCTTTGTGATCACAGCACATAATTACTCTGCGGGTGCATGGGCCCTTGCCGCTTCGTTCTCCCGTGTGCAGGCCGTATCCACGCCGGCCGCAACCAAAGCTGCCACTCAGCGTTCGATTGCATAGACTTCAAATTACTATTTGGTTTGGTTTTACTTCCTTTGAGGCTCAATGTTGAATCATTTGTTGACCGCCCTTTAACCCTAGGCCCCAAACCTAATACCATCCCAAGCCCCGAGTCCTGACATTTTAAAGATTCAGACAGTAGAACCCCAACCGGAAACCCTAAACCCTAAACCCTAAACCTGAACCCTGAACCCTAAACCCAACCCTAAATCGCGAACTCGACAACAGAGGTCAAGGGCATCGAGTCATCAGAGACTCCGGGTGCTGGCCCTGTCGGTCGGGTGCAGCCAGCCAAGCAGGTTCTCCAAGACTATGCCGGGGCGCAGGGCGCTTACGCAATGCCCAACCAGGTGCGGCAGTCGGTTTAAGATTGGGGAAGTGAGTTTCAAAGTATGCTAAAACCCGAAACCCGAAGCCACAGCCTACACCCTATAAACTCCAACCCGACAAAACCCTAAACCTTAAACCCCTAAACCCCTAAACCCCTAAACCCTACACCCTAAACTCCAAACCTTATACTTCAACGCCAATCCCCAAAGCCGGAAAAGCTGAAGAGATGAAGAGCCTCTGCAACACGTTTGGTAAAGCCCCAGGCTGCCCCGGTGTAGTCAGGGTTTGGGGTTTAGGGTTTGGGGTTTAGGGTTTAGGGGTTGAGGGGTTGAGGGGTTTAGGGGTTTGGGGCTTAGGCTTTAGGAATTCAGGGTTTTAGGGTTTCGGGTTTATAGGGTTTAGGGGCCACCTGAAGTGACGTTTTTTCCGCCGATGCCTTCCCCTTTTCTGCCCGTAACCTTAGCCCAAACTGGCTTCCTGTCAAGATTTTAATTCAAGCCACCATAACGGGTCTGCAGTAAATAACATGGTTTCTTTATCATGATAAAGTTCTCAGACTACGTACTCTTCTCCCTTAAGCCCGGAGCCCAAAGCCCTGAACCCTTAAACCGTAATTCCCCAAACCCGTAAACCCCTAGATTTCTAAACCCATAAAACCCCTATACCCCTAAACCCTAAACCCTACACCAAAAAACCCCTAAACCCTAAAGCAATCCCGAAACCGTGTGCCAGCAGGTGCCGTTTCCCCAGAACCTGCAGGGATACGCCCAGGAAGCTCGGGTTCGTCTTGAGAAACTTCTAAGGAGTTGAGTTGAGAACGGTTAGGGTTTAGGGTTTCGGGTTTACGGTTTATAAAAGGTTTAGGGTTTAGGGTTTAGGGCTTAGGGTTCAGGGTTAGGGTTTCGGGTTTAGGGTCCAGGGTCTAGGGTTAGGGTTTAGGGTTTAGGGTCTTCTGAGCTTTTTGGGAGTTTTTGTTTGTATGTTACTTTGATGATAAGGAAGGTGTCTTCTTAAGCCGTTTTGTTTAAATATACTTCAGCATGATAATATGATTTCCTTTTTGTGGTAGTATTTTCAATTTTCCACACCTCTCTTCATGATTTCTTTAGAGCTCTCTGAAAATCCTTTTGTAGAATCCTCCTGAAACTTTGACACAAGCTTTTGCAACAGCCATACCAACGTCTGGAAACCCCACAGCTCCCTCGCAACAGCTCAGGAGAACCCTGACAAGCCCGAAAGCGAAGCCCCCAGATCCGAGACCCCAGACCCCAAACCTCAAAACGCCAAGCCTTAAGCACTTAAGCCCTAAACTCTATGAGCCCCAAATCCGAGACCCTAGACCCCTAGACCCTAAACCCTAAGCCCAAAAGCCCTAAGTCCCAAATCCGAGACCCTAAACCCCAAACCTTCAGCCCTAAACTCTATACACCCCAAATCCGAGACCCTAAACCCCTAAACCCTAAACCCCAAACCTTAAGCCCTCTGAACCCTGAAGGATGCCTTTCTGGAGACAGGGGGTAGCAGACATTCAACAGCAGCCCTACCCTACAGTAGAAGCCCAAAAGTTGGAAACCCAATAGCCTCAATCCTTAAGACTTAAGAGTCATACATAGGGAATCCCAGCACTATTTGTCCTTAATCCGGTTTCCAACTTTTTGGGGTTTACTATAAACCCTACCCTAAGGCTCTTATTGCCGGTATGGGCTTTCTAGGGGAAGGTTTGGCCTTTGGGGGCTAAGGTCAGGTTTGGGCTTTTCCTGTGCGGGTCCATGAGCCTTAGGGTACACACTTTCAACAAAACAAAGCACCCTAAACCCTAAACTCCAAATCCTAAACCCAAAAAACCCTGAACCCTAAACCCTAAACTCTGAACCCTGAGCCCTAAACCCTAAACCCTAAGCCCTATAAACCCTGAAGCTCAGGAAGGCTCCGGGAGGCGCGGTGGAGGAGCTGTGGAGCTTGCATCCGCTGAGACCGGGCTGCACCTGTTAAAGGCTCCATTATAGTTCCTTTTTGGGGTTTAGGGTTTGGGGTTTAGGGTTTGGGGTTTGGGGTTTAGGGTTTAGGGTTTAGGGTTTTGTGATTTATATTTAGGATCCTATAAGGGAATGCCAAAAAGGAGCTACTTTGGAGCCTATGGGCAGTTCGGCATTTAGGGGTTTAGGGTGCTATGGTTTCCGGTTCGGGGGTTAAGGGCTTGAGGTTCAGGGGGTTTAGCTTAGTTCCCCAATACTCAACCTTTAAACTTTTCGGGTTCTTACAATTTAGTCGTAATCTGAAAGTTTAACCTTTTATTTCACCGGCTTCTTGGGGAAATAGGTTAGGGTTTCGGGCGTTTGGCGGATATGTCTGAAAAAGTGCTAGGGGGTTGTAGGAGTTCTATCGGCTTCAGGCTCAGGGGGTTTAGGGTTTAGGGTTTAGGGGTTTAGGGTTTAGGGTTTAGGGCGTTTTGTGGATATCTGTGAAACAGGTTTTTCTTTTGGATTTTTGTTTGCCCAAAGTGCGCAGGCCTCAAGTTGGAGTTTCGGTTCAGGGTTCGGGGGTTGGGGTGTTTAGGGTTTAGGGGTTTAGGGTTTGGGGTTTCCGATTGAAAGTTGGACTTTGAGTGGCCTTTTGGAGGGGCGGCAGGACCAGGGCTGGTAGTGCTGCAAGGCAGCTAGGCACATCAAACCTTAAACCTTCCATTTCAAGTCGTAAGGCCCAGATAAATTACTGTTGATGATATAGATCCTGCAGTAGCTTATAATCAGGATCCTAAACTATGGCAGTTATGGTACTATTCCTTATTATGGGTATAATGCAGGATTTATATCATCAACCGTATGACCCTGAACCCTATAGGGATCCTGTATGGAGCCCTAAACCCTAAACCCCTGCACCCTTAACCCTAAACCCTACAGATTTAGGGTTTAGGGTTTAGGGCCGTAAACTATAAACCCTAAGCCCTAAACCGTGCACCCTAAACCCTAAACCCTATACCCTGTACCCTACACCCTAAACCCCTAAACCCCTAAACCCTGAAACCCTAAACCCTGAAACCCTAAACCCTAA